TTTTTATTTGAGCAACGAAAAGATTGTTAAAGAATAAAAATAAAAAAAAAAAATTACTTAGTTTTTATAATATGAATCTTTTAAATAAACCTGGCTAGCTAGCTTTTTTTTTTTTAATTTATATATAAAATTTTATAAAATTTATATAAAAAATTTTTTCAAAACCTACCCAATTATTAAAATATATAGAAAAATTTTTTTTAAGTTTTTAAATTTTGATCCTATCAAGTTATAAAAACTAATTAATTAAAAAAGTTGTGTTTAAGATATAGATTGTATTACATGCGGCTCTCGATATAACAGAGGTCATGGTTCTAGTCCTTTACTCTATTATATCAAAAGATCTATAATATCAAAAATCTTATAATATATTAGATATTATAATAAACTATAATTTGGTTTTATTATAATTCTCCATATTAAGCAATATCTATTATATTGATGATTTATTATATTGAGAGCCACATGTATAGCAGTATTTTAAAAAATGGTATAAAATACAAATACAATAGTAGCAGATAATATATACTAATTAGAATGAAATTTTTAAACAAGTATATATCTGTGTGTAGTATATGACAATATAGTATTAGGTTTACTTCAAAAATTGGCCATAGAGTTCCTAAGTTTAGTTTAGTTTAGTTTAGTTTGGTTTGGTTTAGTTTTTAATTTTAATTAATTTAAAAAAAATTTTAAATTTTACAAATTTTAAAACTTAAATCTTTTATATTTAAGTTTAAAATTTAAATTTTCTTTAAATTTAATAACTGAATCCAAACTAAACTAAACTAAACTAAACTAAACTAAACTTAAAAACTCTAATTAGCCAAAAGAAGTTCTAAGCTAGCTATTAATCTAATAGTGTTATATAGATTCATATTTACAAATGGTGAGGCTATGACTAGATTAAGTTAAAGATAGTATACAAGAATTGTAACTAGAAAGTTTAAATAGATAGCTTTTTAGTTAGGCTATAGATATAATAGCTAGTATAGAATCTTAGAACAGTTTATTTAAATTAGACAACCAAAAGTTATATATATAGCTAGTTGTACTTTCATTATTAAAATTATAACTTATTTGCAAATTTAATAATAAATTGCCAACCAAGAAATTATCTTAATAATAAAAAAAAATAAATAAATAAATTTAATATAATATCTATATCTACAAACTATATACTAACTATTAAAATCTAAATAAGTTTTAACTACTGTAGTAGATTTATATTATAGATAAACTAGTTTAAGCTCTTATTTTATATATAATTTATATATATTTGTTATATACAAATTGAGTTTTTATTATACTGTAATTATTTAAATAAATTGCCAAATAAAAATATAAGCAAGACCTTATTTTAATAACAAAAAAAATATTTTTTTTAAAAACAAAAATATATAAAATTTTAAAAAACTTAAAAAAAAATTTATAATAAAAATTTTTAAAACAAAAGCTTTAAATTTTATTCTTTAATGATTGTTGTAGCTAATGCTAAAAACGGCTGATAATGAAAATTTTGGGTCTTTATTTATAACTATAAAACCTACTAAAACCTATCTATACACTTTAATTAATAAACCCTGACCCTAACTCTACTCAAACTATTATATGAAGACTAAAAAAATGTATTCCCAAAAATTGTAAAAATTTAATAATAAAATAATCAAAATTTTAGCATCAGCCATTTTCAGCATTAGCTATGACAATGATTTATAATAAAATTAAAAAATTTTTATAATAAAGCTTATAAAATTTTTATTGTGCTTTTTTTAACAATTTTCTTACATATACTACTGTATAATAATATTATTATTATTATTACCTTTTTATCTTTGTCATGAAAATCGATACATTTTTTATTTAATCACCAAACTTTCTGCTTGGGACAAACCTACTGAAGAAGACTTTAAAAAATCCTTGTTTGAATTGAGAAAGTTATGTGAACAATTTGAAATTACCGGATTGAGTCTTCCTCGTATCGGAGCAGGTTTGGATCGATTAAGGCTTGATTTTGTTCATGAAAGTGTTTCTAACACATTTGAAGGAAGCGATATTAATGTGACCATGTATTATTTACCAAATCAAACAACAAAATAATTGATCTTAATCATTGTTTTTAGTATGCAATTTTTAAAGATTTATATGCACAATAAAAATTATTATTCAGTATAATTTAAGTCTCGATTCTGTGAAACCTATTATTGTAGTTGTCACTTTACCTGTAGAATAAACAATTCTCAATAAGATCAAAAGTTTACTGGTTCTTTTAAGTGTCGCACGCTATTTTGTTAGGCTTATTCTTGTTCGATACTGTAGCTCTAAAGATTCTTACTTTTTTGAAATAACAATAGGTTATGAAATTGGGGCAGCAATAAATGAATTTTCTATTCAATGCAATATTAACGTTAATTTTGGTACTTCGAGAAAAGATCGTTAAGGTTATGATATCAAAATCTTTTAATGCTTTTTGGCAGCTTTATCATACTTTTCAATAACAATATTATTAATTGCACGGAAAAATGCTGTGAAATAAATGATACAAAAGTTCGTTTTTGATACCATCTATTGCCATTTGATGCACTTACTGTATTTACTTTGGACTATGCTGGCAAGTTATTTAAGCTGAACAGTTTTTTAATACAATTCATTAGTATAGTACATAATAAAATCACAGGAAACCGACCGAGATTGGCCAGAACATCCCAAAATATTTCAATAGAAATTGCATTGTACGTAGCTGGTAGTTCCCATCTACCAAAGCAGACAGGCTATAAGTAGAATCACAATGCAATAGTCA